ACACCTGGCTATTTTTTGGTTGAAGTTGTCATTGTTGTTTGGCAGGCCCATGCTGGATTTGAACCCCCAGTTCCGGTGAATGTGGTTGGCACCCTAGCCAGTGAGCTACAGGTGCTGAGCCACTATTGAACACTTTGATTCATCTAATAAATTATGAGTTTCTTCCTTCCAGTTTCCAAAGACTATGTTACACATGTTTATGAAAATTGAAGAACTCTCTGTTATGACAATGTAGTGTGTGGACCTGTAAACATAATTTCTTTTTTTGTGTATATTTTTAGTGTACAATGGGATATTTTGAAATTTGGGGTGAGTTTCATTTAATAACAATTCTGCACTAGAATTTCAAGATTAAGTGAGAGTCACTGAAGAACTACCTGTCGTGGGAGTCTGATCATCTTCCTCTGAGAAGACAAGGAATTTCAAAATGTCCTAGAAATCCTAGACTAGCTAGAAGAAGTTGATCTCCAGACAAAGGGCAAGAGAGCAATATGAACAGTAGGGACTGAGTAAAGAGAACTTAGGAGAGGATGCAGGAGCATAGCAAGGATTGCTGATGATAGTGAAGAGTTTAGAAAATGAGTTGTTCAAGGCACCTAGAAGATGGGAGAGACATAGTAATTTTTTCTTCTGTTCTTTCAATGCTGCTATGGATTTTGAGTAACTTTCCCCATTATTTCTCTCATTGCACCCATACTTTTTAATTCATTTAGACTACAGGAACATCAAAAGTATGCTGATGATATTAATAATGAAGTTCTGCTGGTAAAGATAACCTCATATCTCACTGAATAAATCATCTTGCTTAGCCAGATATAGACACAGATATTAATACTTTTACCATCTCCATCAAAAGATTTGTGTATTTCTTATGCCTCTCTTTTTTAATCTTTGAATTAAAAATTTGATAAGGGCTGTGGCATTGTGAGAGTTCACCTAACAAACTCATGTTTTACACAATTGACAGATGCTATCATGAATAAGCTGTCTGTATCCTATACCTGCCTAACAATGACTATCTCTCTATCCATAGGCAATCTGAAATCTACCTTGCCTTTTCAGATTTAGGATGTCATTTTCTCCCCAAGTGTACCACAAGTACCTCCAGTATTGCTAATTCTTCTGGTTGATATTCCATTACTTGCCCATATTTTTAGCATATAAATTTCTTGTTTTAAAACATAAAATAGTTTATAGCACTCACATTACAAAACGTCAAGAACACTATTGTTTATATACTAATTTGGCCACATACATTACCATTTATACTTAGTCATATATTCCACATGGTGAAATGGGTGTAGTTTTTGGTAACTTATTGAACTATATTTTTATTTTCTTTATGCATTTAAATTTTATTTATTTGCATAGAAGTATAATGGTAAAATGAGCAGGTCTTAAGTGTATATAGTTCAGTGAGTTTTGAAAGGTGAATATATGTGTATTACTCAGACACCAGTGAAGAAATAGATGGTGTCATTTCCCAAGGAATTTCCATTATGGTCCTTTACCAACAATCCTCTCCATAACAGAGGCAACCACGATTTTGGTTTCTTTCTGTAAATAAGTTTTACCTGTTCTTGGGCTTCATATAAATGTAATTATATAATAATACCACTGTTTGGTCTTCTATATTTAATTCAAGATATGATTCCATAATTTGTTCTCTGGTGCTGCTGCTGAGTAGTAGTTTTCTCTCTCTTTCTAATGATTTTATACACACACACACACACTCAGCAAAAATTAAAAAAAATAGAAATTATACCTTGTATCTTCACAAGGTGGCAATAAGGGTGGAACTCAACTGTGTGTGTGCTATTTACCACTGTTAATGGAATATTTGGATATTATATTTGAAGCTAATTTTCTCCATTGATTGTGTGACTTAGATCCTCATTGAGCTTCATTTTTAACTTATATTATTTTTCATAATGTATTCTAGTTTTTACTAATGGCACAACATAACAGAATTGTTTTATAATAGGCTTCCCAGGCCTCCAGTATTTTTTCTTTTTATAAATTTGTTCATGATCTTTAGTTTCCATCTTTAATGCTTGCTGTTTGGTTTTTATTGTTGTTTTGTTTTCTGCATAGGGTCTATGCCAGAGCTTTGTTTCCAGGACAATAAAATTAAATTGTGAACCCGTATTTATGCTAATATCACAGTTGGAACAGTCTCCACTTCCTCTCCCCAACGCCAAATATTGTGGAGGCAAAGAATCCTCTGTTAGATATGGCATATATATTCAGCCTGAAGAGCACAGGCAGGGACCACAGAACAGCTGGCGTGATTCTTCATAGGAGACACTGATGACAGTTGCATTACCATAGAAGGGTCATGTGTGTTTTTGAGGCATAGGAAAAGGTAAACAAATTTGACTGACTGAGACTGGGTTTTTAGGGACAAGACCCAAGGAATAGGGGCATCTGGAGGAAGGAGAAAAAATTATTAAAATCAATTAATGGTGGACAATTGACATGGAGGTTGTAATCTTGAAGTTTTGGGAAAATTCATAAGTAATAAACATTCAGCCTAAAATTCTCAACCAGATTTCTACTCTTTACATAGTCTTTTTTTTTTTTTTTTCATTTGGTTTATTCAGGGATAAATAGTGGCAGGGATGGGAAGGAAGGAAGCACAGTGCCTTGGCTAACTCTCAGGATTCATGTAGCAGGTATCCCTGTGGTTGCTAGAGGGTGGGCTCCTGGAAGGCAAGAAATGGAACCTCATGGAACCTCATCTATTCTCCATCTCTCACACACTTGGTCTTCTACATGGCATAGGGTGATGTGCCCTCCTTATGGGAAAGGCAATTTCAGGTCTAGGCAATGAGTAGTACCCATAAAGACTGTGTTTTATTCATGAAATGTAGTGTTTCCAAATCTTTATCTCTGCTTCATTTCTGTGTTCATGTCAATGCAGTAATAATTACAAAGCAGTTTTTATTGTTATAATTGTGACTTCCTGTGTACCAAGACCAGTTCAATTTCCTCTACTATCTTCCTGTATGAATATGATTAGTTTTGGGATTTTGTGATATGGGCTAATCTTACTGGAGTTAGGTGATAGCTCAAAGTAGTTTTTATTTGCATTTCTCTGATGATTAAGGATGGTGACCATTTTTTTCATATATCTATGGGCCATGTGCTGATCTTCTTTGGAGAAATTTCTCTTCAAGTCCCTTGCCCATCCTGAGATGGGATCACTCATTCTCTTTTTGCTAATACATTTGCGTTCTCTATGGATTCTGGTTATTAAACCCTTGTCAGAGACATAACCTGCAAAAATCTTCTCCCATTCTGAGGGCTGTCTGCTTGCTTTATTTACTGTGTTCTTGGCTATGCAGAAGCTCTTTAGTTTGATCAGGTCCTAATAGTGTATTTTTGATGTTGCTTCAATTGCCCGGGGTGTCCTCTTCATAATACCACAAAATCCCAAAACCAGAGATGCTGGCGTGGATGTGGAGAAAAGGGAACACTTCTACACTGTTGGTGGGAATGTAAACTAATATGTTCCTTTTGGAAAGGTGTCTGGAGAACACTTAGAGAACTAAAAATAGACCTGTCATTTGATCCTGCAATTCCTTTATTAGGTATACACCCAGAAGACCAAAAATCACATTACAACAAAAATATTTGTATCAGAATGTTTATTGCAGCCCAATTTATAATTGCTAGGTCATGGAAGAAGCCCAAGTGCCCATCGATCCGTGAATGGATCAACAAACTGTGGTATATGTACACCATGGAATACTATGCAGCCATAAAGAAAGATGGAGACTTTACATCCTTCATGTTCACATGGATAGAGCTGGAAAGTGTTCTTCTGAGCAAAGTATCACAGGAATGGAAGAAAAAGTATCCAGTGTACACAGCCCTATTATGAAATTAATTTATAGCTTTCATATGAAATCTATAACCTAATAGCAGCCTAAGAATATGAGGGGGAGAGAGAGGGGTGAAAGAAATGGGTGGAGGGAGGGTGATTGGAGGGATCACTTCTATGGTTTATCTTACAAGGGTACAAGTGAATCTTTCTCAAAGTAGAATATGAACATCTTAACACAATAACTAAGAAAATGACATGAAGGCTTTGTTAACTAGTTTGAGGACAATATTTCAAATTGTATGTGAAAACACCACACTGTATCCCAGAATTTCATTAATGTACATAGTTATCATTGAATAAAACAAAACGAAACAAAACAAATATGATTAGTTTCCCTAAGTTACAGAGAAAATACACTTTATTATTAAAAAACTTGCTTAAAGTGGAATAGCATTTAAGAGGTAGAGTTAAGATCCATTCCCAGATTTTCTGATTTCTAAAGCTATGGCCTAAAATCTTATACTATGATATATGTATATACCCCCACATACATATATATTTATTTATTTCAACTTATTATCAATGATTTGTTTTCTCCAACACACAGCTACTACCTACTTCTTTTTGTGTGTTCCTAAATCTTTCTAAATGGCTCCTGGAGATTTTCCATATTCTGATGTGGGCCAGTATTACAGTGGACACCATTTTCTTCTTCAATTTCATCCTATTTTCTCTTTAGTTTCTGGAGCAAGATTGCATTTGTTGATTGGTAAAGGAATTATTTGATTGATAAAGATGTAATGAATTGTTCATATATCTCCTGCTGCTTATACTTCTTTCTCAATTTTTAAACACTAATGTCCCCTCTATCTTGAGATTAACTCTATTTCTATAACTACTTCTATGGTCTACAATTCTGAGGGCCTTCAGGTGTGAAATGAGCATAAAAATAAATTCCATTGCTGCTATCATCATTCTGGCATACTGGCCACTCTGCCCTCACCAGGTATGGGCGGTGACAACACTCACTGCTGCAAAGAAAAGGCAAACTAGTGACATGAGTCACTGAGTGCTGCTGGCACAGCTATAAAAGCCTGACAACCCATGTTAGGTGCATGGATTCAGGCACTGGAGAAATGAGCATTTGCCATTGAGACTTCCATCTCACTAGTCACTATCTTTCTGCCTTACTGTCTGACCTTTCCAGGGCCCCAGGCAATAGACACTGAAGGATGGGACTTTGTCAAGGTAGGTGCACTAATGAGGCTCACGTTATTACATTGTGACTTTTGTGGGTTCTTCTGTGTATGCATGTGTGTATGCATGCATAATATAAACAAATATATTAACATTACATATAAAGATGTCATCAATCTATGAGTTCTTTTTTTTTCTTTAATTTTAAAAGAAATTAAAATATTTTCATGGACCCATAGTATTTTGGCTGTAGGGATTGTGACTTTACACCTAATGAATAATTCAGTCCCAGTGCTCATTTCTCACACACTTGGTCTTCTACATGGCATAGGGTGAACACTCTAGTATTTGGATCTCTGAGACTTGAGATAGTGAGAGACCAGGAGAAGTGATTCAAATGGACTAATGGCCCTTTCATATCGATGGAGAAATCTCCCAGTCCATCTACCACATGTGGATTTGCTCCAAATTCTTAGGCATCAAAAATAGCAATGTATTTTATAATTGCTTATGGATCTAGTTCAATTTTATGCTAATATTTAGCCCAGAAAAATGTAGTAAGTTATTTGTCTCTTGTCATTCAGCTTAGCTGATAATAAAATAAAGGCACACGGATATAGTATAAAATATGCAAAAATCAATCATTGAATTTACAGCAAGTTGCCTTAGACATGAGTTTTGCCCTTATAGTACTTTGGGTCCACCTAGGGTTAAAATATAGAGAAAGCTTGATTATAATAAAAAGGTGCTATATTTTTTTCCAGAAGTTGAGATTTGGTGTACTGAATTGGCAAAAAAAAAAAAAAAAAAAAAAAAAAAGGACTCTTCAAAAGTATTTTAATAGAAAGGAATCCATATAATGCAGAATCAGCCAAATTTTAAGTCCTCTTATGTTACTGATTCTGTCCTGACTAAGAAAACCTCAATCAGTCAGAAAGACCAGTGGTCACCTTCTCTGGGAAGTTCTCAGGGAATATCTTCATGTCTTTTATTCTAGAGCTTCTCTATCCTGAAACTTGGGTACTTTATTCTTGGAAAAATTTGTACATCTTATCAAGGTCACTTTTATTCTGTTACTTATATTTAGTATCACCTCACCAGTGACATGGAAAATCAGGGCGAGTTTCCATTATTTTCCAGAGAGCAGGAGCTTTAAGATGACCAGATTAAGCAACCTTCTCTGAGGCTCTCAAAAAAGCTGTACTCTGGGTAACTGATGCTCTGCGTCTGCCATATTGATCCTGAGTCTCATCCTTCCTAATCTTTCAACCAGGAACATTTTCATCAATTTTTCCTGACCAAGAAGGAGTTGTTGCTCCTTTCCCTGGAGAAACAGCCACAGTTCCCACAACAGTTCCATCTGAATAAGATGGACCTACCAGACCAGCCAATGCATGCTGTGCTGCACCAGCCCTGCTGTGGGGTACCTGAGCTGGGTAACTCCTCCATCTTCTCAGAAACTTCCAAACTGAATAAGTACATTGTGACATATAGGTACTTATTATTACGGTGTGGGGGATGTGTGGGGTGATGATATCAAAGGTCTTTCTACAAGGCCTCTCTTAGAGGCAACTCTACTGTCCTCTGCTTTCCTTAAATTATCTCCAAAACCCCAAATCTCCTTCAGAGAAGGCAATTCTACCAGATCTCATTCTAACATCCTTCAACCAGATCTTCAGAAAGTAGAGGCTAAGCACTAACTTTTGGCCATAAACCAAATCCTTCCCTTAACTAATTTTTTTAATTGTGTAAATATATAGAAGTTATAGAATAGAATTTTGAAAAATTACTACCTGCCTAAGTCAATCTTTATCCTGGAGACAGAAAATACATTGGAGATATGTAAAGCAAAACAATACTATGTTGTACAGAATGCTATCCATTTTAGTTTAGTTCATATTGATTGACATTTTTTTTTCCTCATTTATCATGTACAGTGTGGTTCTCAGGTGTTCCCTGAGAATAATGTGTGTCATTTGTTACAATTTTTAGAAATCTATATTTGCATATTTAATTACTCTAATTTCTGATTCAGTTAGCCTGGGATCAGATCAATTTTATAGATTAGCAAAATGAGGCCTAAACATATTAAGCCATTTGCCTCAAAACAGAGGCAGTTATTCACTTTTAGAGTTAAGATTATTCCTATAACTCAACGATTTTACTTAGAAATTTTTTATTTCAGGGTTATCAACTACCCACATGCTATGAAGCCATCCACAGTGAGTGACATAATGTATAATGCAGCTTCCTTATGGAGCACTGTGACTCCCCTGATCTTCCAGCAAGTGCAGAGTGAAGATGCAGACATCAAGATTTCTTTCTTGAACTGGGGTTAGAAATTGACATGGGGGGATATCATGCCCTGTGTAAAGGACAAAGAGTCCCAATCCATAAACACAAAGCCAGTCCACCTAGTTCTGCTTCTGAGAAAAAAAAAATCAAGCACAATCTTAATGCAAAGCAAAGCAAAGTGTATATAACACAGGAAAGACGTTTCTAGTAAAGTGTACAATGGGTAGAGTAGCAGTTTCACTGTGGTGCAAACAGGGTGGGGAGATCCCACATTTTCCTTTTAAAAAGATATTACAGAGCTCCCAAATCTGTTGAAATACCATTCAAAGTTGATCCAACCTGTTTATAAAAACTTGTAGGGCTTAGGTTTTCTTTTCCTTTTCCCAAACCATTTTGGGAGAGGTTTCTGTGTCTAATCTGTAACCTTTACTCAGTATCTGCCATCTGTCCCTCTTTTGCTATACTCTGGGATATAGGGAGTAGCTAGGCTTTTGGCTGCACACTATTCCTTTGCATAGGTAATGCCTTAGCCCTCTCGCACCCAACAGCAGCCTGTTGCACAATATCCTAAGTCCTAAGACTTATTTCAGACCATTTTGGCTCTTGTTTCCCTCCTTTTCCCACTGTGATCAAAGATTCTGTCATCCCCAGATCATGGAGATGATTTGCCCTTTGATGGGCCAGATGGTGTCTTAGCCCATGCCTTTTTACCAAATTCTGTAAATCCAGGAGTTATCCATTTTGACAACAATGAACATTGGTCATCTTCAAACACGGGTAAAGGCCTTGAGTGCTGGGAGTGACTGCTAAAAACTCTCTGGCAACCTGGCGGTTGGTGTGGTGTCCGCTGGAGTTTCCAATACAACAAAGGGGTGGAGGGAGGGATTCAGAGTGGTCAGGGTGAGGTGGGAAGCTTTGGCTAAAGAATCAGTTTCTCTGGATGAGTTGGAGGAGCTGGGGTCATTTCTGAACACAGGTGCTCTCATAATAAATACTTTGTCATATTCCAACTCTCTGTTTCCTTATCTTTTTACTTACCTGTTTCAGTCCCCCAATCCTCTCCCTCACTCTTGTTCACTTCCAGTTTATCTGTCCAAATATCTTATTCTGTTTCCCTCTTAGCCACTTTCTACTGTAGCCTACCTTTTCCTTGCCCTTTAACATTTATTCTTTCCTCTTTTTCTTTTGCTTCCTATTTTCATTCTTTATTTTCCACTCACTTTCTGTTTTCCCTGTGCATAGTTTAATTTTATCCTTTTGTTTACTCTCTTTCAGGTTATAATCTGTTCCTGGTTGCCACTCATGAAATAGGTCATTCTCTAGGCCTGTACCACTCTGAGAATCAAAACTCCATAATGTACCCCATGTACCAGTATCACAACCCTAGAACCTTCCATCTTGGTGCTGATGATATAAAGAATCCAGCAAATTTATGGTCTGTTCCTGCTGGGGGTGGGCAAGGGCAGGAAAATCCACTTGAAATTGACTATTTTCTTCTGTTTCCACAAGGAGAAAGATATTGGTCTGAAACAGCCTAAAGCTGGCACAGAATCATCATTCCAAATGTTCTTTTGGTTGCTTTACTGAGGATCAAGAGCTCCAAGCACTAAAGCAGCCTCAGAAAGTGCCAGAACGAAGCCCTAAAGTTTTGAATGTAGTCAGGGCAGCTGAATCCACACTCAGAACACTTCTGGATCATAATAAAGATAGTTTGAAAGAGTAACAATTTTTTCTCACAATTTCATATGCCTTAGCATTTGGTATGTTCAGTCACTGTCATGAGGACAAAAAGGAGGGGTGTAGTAGAGTGGAGCGCTCTAGAAGAGATAGCTATGGGACTCTAGCATTAGTTGCAAGAAAAGAAAGGTTAAGATTAACACTAGATTTTAGTATGTTGGATAGAGTTCAAGGGATGTTATGTTTTATGCTGTATGTAAGATGTCAGTTTGAGAGACTATTGGGTTTGGTGGCTTATCTATTTATTAGCTATGAGATTTTGGTCAAGTTATTTAACATCTTTATAACTCAGTTGACACATTTAAAAAACAATAATAATTTTACTGTCATAGGGTTTATGATATAGTATAGTGAATACAACTGTAGTCAGCCCTTGACAGCACAATTTTAGGAATTATTGATATTGTTGTTGAGATACGATTTATAAAGTTAAAGTTTTCAGTCCATTATTTAGCTGCCTGCATTTAGAAGAAAAAATCCAAGGTGGAGGTTTGGAATTGGTGGATCAGCAGTATGTAATCAGACACACAGGGGAAACCATAAAGAGTTTGACAAGGGAGTTCACCTACAGCATTATCCCACTCACCTGGCCAGTCATTGGCTCTGACATTTCTATTTGTAGTTTAGACAGTTGGGGGAATCTTCAATCACAATGGATTGTTTTGATTCAAACAGCGTTCTTTTAGTAATGAAATATCTGATAGAAGGAAATTAAACTGTGGGTGGTAAGTGGAAATGGAGGCATTCCCCTGAAGATGTGAGGCTACCACATTTGATGCACTGTTCATAATGGATCAGAAAAGATCATATTCAAGACAGTGTGAAAAAGGGAAAATGTAAAATCATGTAAAAGAAAAATCACATAAAGGAGGTATTTTAACAGCAGTATTTTCATTATAAAAAGAATGCTAACACAGTCAGTTTAGGGCATATATTTTCTGAGTTACAAAGAATATTTGAAAGTGATTTCTAAAGGACTCAAATTTCTCTGTGTGAATGATAACTTTGGGTTCCTAAGAGCAGCTAGAAGAAAGAAGATGAGATAGAAGCCAGTAAAACTGATGAGAACTCTATGAGTTATGGGGCATCACATGACTGGGGATACATTCTCTGCTGCTCCAGGGTTTGTATCAACTTCAAAGAAGTATCAGCCCTTCCCAGGGTATCCTATATTAGGTAAAGGAGTGAAGCAGGACTTTAAGTGCCCCGGCGTAGCCCAAAGAGTCTCAGTGTGTCTGCCAGGACTTTTTCAGGCCTCTGTGGCAGGTATGCTTTTCCTTTTGCCAAGTCCTACTTCATCCTCCTGCCCTTCACAGGTTTCAGTATCTAATGAATTGTGCACATCCTCAGCTCTGTCTTAATATCTGCTTCTGGAGACCCCAATCTCTGACAGTTGATTACTTGAAAGACCAATAGGACTATTAATCTACTGTGAGAATAGTAAGTGAAAAAGAAAGTGTGTACATGAAACTAACACAAGTAATGGAGGAAAAGGAGATACTTTGACACTCCTGTAGACACTGAAAAACTACAAAGGTACTAAGTTTACAATTTTTAGCCGATGCACATCAAAACATATACCCATATGACATATCTCAAGATACACATAACAGACAAAATTTGATCAAACAAAAGAAAATCAAAATAGTTTTATAAATGTTTAAAAACATATTTCTTAATTGCATTTCTCCACAAATAGTTTCCATATTGACAAAAGAGGAAAAATGAATAATCTAATGATTAAACGACAAATCTAAAAATTACCCGTGGGTGATCATTTAATAATGTTATCATACCAAACAGATGCAAAATATTCTTGGGAAGGGAGGGAAGTTATTTTTGAGCTTTGTATGATCTCATAACAAAATATGACAAATATATTATAAGTTTAATTTCAGGCTATTATTATGATGAACAGTGATGTGGTTATCCTAAATAAACTATCTGCATATCAAAACTGGCAATATCTTGTCCATATCCTGTTAGATTTAGTTTGCTGTTAGTTTGTCAAGGATTTTTGCATCTATGTTCCTCAAAGATGTTGGTTTGTAGTTTCCTTTATATAGTTGTTTTCTTTCCTGGCTTTGGTACCAGGATGATAGTGACTTTGTAGAATGAATTAGAGAGGAAACCCACCTTCTCCATCATTTCGAATAGTTTCAATAGGATAGATACTAGTTCTTCATAGGACAGGTAGACAGAGGTAGACAGAGGGAATCAGCTGTGATTCCCTCTGGTCTTGGTTTTTGTTGTTGTTGCTATTAAGAGATTACTTATTACTGATTCAATCTCTCTATTCATTATTATATTTTCAGGAATTATATTTTGACTGATTTGAGGAAGGAAGTTAAATGTTTATAGGAATTTTTTCATTTCCTTTAGATTTTCTCATTTTTGTGCAGAGAGATTTTCATAGTTCTCTTTGATGATCCTTGGTATTTATGTATCAGTTGTGATGTTTCCTTTTTCATTTCTGACTGAGTTTATTTGTATGTTCTCTCTTCTTATTTTGGTTAATCTACCTAGTGGTCTATCAATTTAATTTGCCTTCTCAAAGAACTAACTTTCTATTAATCACATTGATAAGATGTTAAAAGAAAATAATCTGGATTATATAATTATGAATCTCAATAGACTTAAAATAATTCTGTGAAATTCAGCATCTGTTCTTGACAAAAAGCCTTTATCACATGAATCATAGATGGTGACTACATTCTCTAATAAAAGGAGTCATAAGAAAAATCTTAGCAACATACTTAATTATGAAATGTAGATAACTTTACCTATGAAATCTGCAAAGAAAATAGAGTTTTTAAAAACTGCCTCTGCCTATCCATGCACTGAAGATCTTACCCAATGCTAAAAAAGCAAAAGTATGATTTAGGAATTGGAAATAAGGAAAAAAGAATCTGGCTTTATTTGTGGAAGTGTGATTTGTGCAAAATGAGGCCTAAACAGTATAAAGATCATTTATGAAATAAAAAATAAGTTTAGCAATTTTTCTGGAAAATGATCAAATACAAATTGACTTTATTTTATATATTAGTACAAAATATTGGAAAAGATAATTTATTTTTGCTGTTTATATTAGCAGAAATGATTTGCAAATACTTGAGAATAAATTGAAGGTAATCTCTAAATAGAAAAGTATAAAACAACATTTTAAAAGTTAAAGACCTTAATTGATGTCTATGTTCTTAGACTGATATATCTAATATCACAAATGTTTTGCTTTTCCCAAAACTGCTTAATAGATTCAATACATTCTCGGTAACATCACTTCTACTAAAATGTATCTTGGTAGAAATGTATAAATTGTTTCCAAAACTTTAAAGTAAATGAGTAGAAGTAGTATAGCAAGATATAAAGAAAAAGAATGTCTTGGGAGGTTATGTGAAAAAGCAATGAACAAGTTGATGAATTATGCCTTAATAATAGTCAGTATGGATTTTGGAATTCTGTTGTTGCTTGAAAATGCTTATTAGGCACATGACTATGTTCAGTGAGAAGTGGTAAACACCTTATAATGGAAAGGCTTATCATTGCACTACATTATCATTGTTCTATACAATGCCTCTAATTAAAGCTGAAGTGTCAGTGTTCCTTTGGGCCAGAGTTGTTATTAAAAAAAAAAAAAAATCACTTTCTGGCTGGGCAGGCCAACAGGGGAGAAATTCTTAATTGAACTTGGAAGTTCAAGACCAGACTAAGCAACAGCAAGACCCTGTCTGTATTAAAAATAGAAAAAAAATTAGCCAGTCATAATGGCAGGCACCTGTAGTCCCAACTATACAGGAAGCTGAGGCAGGAGGATTACTTGAGCTCAGGAGTTTGAGAGTTTGAGATTGCTGTGAGCTATGATGATGCCCCAGCACTCTAGCCTGGTCATCTCAAAAAGAAAGTCCGATGTGATGGCTCATGCCTGTGATCCTAGCACTCTTGGAAGCTGAGGTGGGTGGATTGCTTGAGCTCAGGATTTCGAGACCAACCTGAGCAAAAGTGAAACCCCATCTCTAAAAATAGCTGGACATTGTGGTGGATGCCTGTAGTCACACATACTTAGAAAGCATGAAGATCACTTGAGTCCAAGAGTTTGAGGTTGCTGTGAGCTGTAATGCCAGGCCACTCAAACCCAGGGCAAGGGAGACTCTGTCTCAAAAAAAAAGAAAAGAAAAAAGAAAAAAAGAATTATCTTATTCTCAGTTGAGAAGAGAAAACCATGACATTTGAAATAAAGTACTGGGAAAGGCAGAGGGACTTAGGATGCATGTCTACTGTTTTCAGTATTATATGCTGTTGCCACTACATGGATATTATATGCACTATCCATGAAGTGGATAAGAGCTTTGTTTAGTCATTTCATCTCTAGGGATTCTGCAAACTCTGACACCAATCTCTAATTTTCTATCCCAGGAGAAACTAGGAGTATTTAATAGTGATTGTGAAACCATTTAAACCTTACCACTAACAGAGTCAAAGGTTTTCATGACCTGAGTTCCATGAAGAGTCAAAATCATAACCTTTGCAAACAGTATAGGTTCAACTTTTGGTAGTGATGGGGACTCTCCTCAGGTGAGGGATGAAACTAAAAGGGCAAGAAGTAGAGCTACAGAGACACAAAGAGAAGTGAGAAGAAAGACAGGCAATAAGAGGACTGGGAAAATAGAGAATTGTATTCTGAAAAGACACGAATTTAAATAAAGGCAAAATAGAAAGAATGGAAGCAGCAAACAGAATAAGAAAGGTAAAGATATATTTAGACAATAAGTAAAAGGAAAGAATGAGAGAGAAAGCCACAGAAATAGAAACAGAAAGAGAATATCACTTTACCCATAGTGAAGAAACATTTAGTTAGAAAAAGGCATAATGAAACTGTGGGCCATTTGGGGAATTAACTACTGGTTACAGATCAAGCAAGCTTATAATGCAATGGTCTTTTGTTGAAATTTCAGGTAAGTTTTAATTTTTAAATTACAAATAAATAGCAGGTAGATTTTAGCATACTTGGTATTTTATATTAAGAAATAGTGCTGAAGAGAGTTAAATTATTAGAAGAACAATATACAGTTTATGCAGAAGGAAAAACTGATGGGCATCATCCTCTGTGAACAATTTTGTAATTTACAACAATATCATAATGTCCTGTTCCATTTTTTTTTTTTAGCAATTTAAAGCTAAACTGCTGGCTCAGCGCCTGTGGCTCAAGCGGCTAAGGCGCCAGCCACACACACCTAAGGTGGCGGGTTCGAATCCCCAGCCCGGGCCCGCCAAACAACAATGATGGCTGCAATCAAAAAATGGCCAGGCATTGTGGCCGGCGCCTGTGGTCCCAGCTACTTGGGAGGCTGAGGCAGGAGACCCGCTTGAGCCCAGGAGTTGGGGGTTGCTGTGAGCATGATGCCATGGCACTCTACCCAGGGGGATAGCTTGAGGCTCCGTCAAAAAAAAAAAAAAAAAATAAATAAATAAAAATAAGCTGCTCAGTGAAAGTTACATATTTGAGAATTTCATTCAGCTAATATGCTGCAGAGGCTGTAAGAAAATGGTTTTATCATCAGTGGTTCTCCCTTAATTACTTGGAATAAGTGAATGTGTGACACGAGTCTTTTCATGCCTCTGCCCTTGGAAATGGTCTCCCAGTCTCTCCCTGGTATTTTTTTTTCCATGTCAGTGTGATTAAATGGTACTAAAATAAACAAAGAGCAACAAAGAATCATTGTCAATGACCTAGGAATAAGCCAGAAGAAAATGAATAGAGAAAAAAAAAGCAATGAAGGACTGAAAAAAAAGTAGAAGACATGACAGGTGAGAGGGAAAGAAAGGAAGATTACACACAGAGTGGAATCGGCTATGGGGAGGTGTGGGAGAATATGAGGTCAGAGGGTGAAAACTTGCAGTTATGTAGGAAGAATAAGTACAAAGTTCTAATAACACAGCATGAAAAGTTTAGTTAATATTATTGTATTGTATCCTGAAAATTGGTCAAGAGATTATATTTTAGGGACTTTTACCATATACACATGTACATGCACAAGTTAGCTATGGAAGGTGATGGATAGGATACTTTGTGTGGCCGTAATAGTTACTTCACTATGTATCTGCATGTCAAAACATTACATTGTACACCTTCAGCATATGCAATGAAAAATAGGGAGTAATAACAGATATTCAGGCCTACTGGGACTGAAGTTTTCTAATTATTGAAATCTGCACATAGAGGACCTGCACACAGAATAGAAAAAAAATTCCAAAGAGCAGTGATCCACTTTATTCCCTACAACTTATATAATTACTCAAGAAAATGTGATTTATATCAGAGTTTTAAGAATGAAATGTAAAAGCACACAATAATTTCCTGGCATAAGTTTAAAGAAACAGTATCTCCATTGAGGAGGCTCTCTCTGTGTGTGTTTTCTATATATTTCAATTTTTTATTTTTTTTTATTTATTTATTTATTTATTTTGCCATTTTGGGTGGGGCTGGGCTTGAACCCACCGCCTCCGGCATATGGAACTGGCGCCCTAACGTTTTGAGCCACAGCCGTCACCCTATGTATTTCAATGTTAATACCTAAATTGGTTTTATGAGCTCAACTTAGCTATAAAACAGGAAGCAGAACAAAATTTTCTGGGTCAGAATGAAGAAAAAATAAAGTTAGGGATATTTAAGGCTAGAGAGAAAAAAGTTACTTCAAGGTTAAAAAATATACACACAAGCACATGCTCTTAACAAATATTCTGCTAGGTAGGTGTGGAATTTGGTGAATGGCAGATTGTTTTATCCAAGACAATGGGGCCAGCAAAAGTTCAATTTAGACTGCTTGGGGCTAGAGAAGAGTACGGGACTCTGAATTGAAGGGATGAGGGACAAGAGGAAGAGACAAATCTTTCTTGTCACATGGAGAAAATGACTTTCTATTTCCTTCTGTTCCTCAGATGGAGATTCTGGTCAAGTCCTCTTTGGAATCCAAGGTTGTGCAGTCTAAGAACTGTCAGTATTCACACCATAAAATGGAGATAAGAATAAACCAAGAGTAAAATTAAAAAAAATTACAACTGTTTATTAAATATAATGAAGACAATATACAGTCATTACTAAATAGCTCTAATGCTATAACATGAGTTTGAGTCCACATTTGGGGAGATTTTTGCTTTAGGTTAGGGCTATGTCTCATGTTAGATTTTTCAGAAGTCAGAGACTAAGAGTCTAGTAGGAGGCTGAGGGAGATGTGACATGTTGCTATGGAGATGAGGCTCAGATGCTAAGAAATGAGGTAAGTGAAGGTTTTTCTCAAGGACAGTCAATGGGGCTATTTAGGGGCTAAAGTAAAGAATCAGAGAACAGAAGGGGCAGAGAATTCCTCAGTGCTTAACTGCTGTCCCCAGTGCCATCAGCTCAGGATATAGAAAAGCTAGCATTGAAATCCAGCATGGCATGAGAGGCTATTACCAGAAAGATTGCTGAGGCAAAGCAAAGCCAAACATGAGAATCATTTTTTGAAATGGGAAGAAATAATTTGGTTGTTTCTAAGAGATTCTGCTGGTCGGTTGTTAGGACTGTATGTATGGATTGCTATGGGTTTTTGAAAGTAGGTAAAAGTTGGAGAATCATTTAATATTTGGGTTGGTTATTCTTTTTGAAATATTAATGTAAGTGTCTTTTCAAAAGAGCAATTAATCAAAGTGGTGAATAGAGTGAAAAATGGTGAATAAAGTGGAAAGTTATCTATTTTACTTAAGACATATATATGTGATAACGATGTTAAGTGTGCTCATTATTTTCTGGGAGAGAAAACAAAACAAAACAAAAAAACACCTTTAGAAGAATTTGCATAGTGACTTTATGCCCTAGAGATTTATTTTTGTCACACACATTGTATATATAGGTGCTGTTGTTTTGCCACGAAGAATTATTAGGTTAGGAAACAGTTGCTATACTAAATATATCAAATAGCACAAAACTATGCTCATTAAAAAAATGTTTTGGAATTATGATATTTTTTTCTTTTTTATGCCTTCCTTTTATATAATGTTATTTATCATTTATCATTAAATATTTAACACTTGAAAGTTTATATGTTATAAGTTACTAAATAAAATAAATTCAGAAGGTAATTATGTTGAGTCTTTGGAATTAGTCAATTGGAATGAACAAAAAGGTAGCCAAGAAGCAATTACTGATTAACTCCAGAACATTACTGATAGGAAACGTATACAAATTCAAAGATAATTACTCTGACTCATCCCTCTTCTTATTCTTATTAATAGTAAAGTTTTTTTTCTCTGCTCTTGTGTTGCTTAAATTTTTCAGAGGACTTGATACAAATCTAACACATTTCTTGACAGAGACGACCATATTTGCATGGGTCACCCTTTTGTTCCAGAGTTTTGTGCTCGTTCATATTGGGAAATGTTTCTCACCTGAAGCTTGTAAGAAATACCTCCTGATTTTCTGCATAAGGTTACAGGAAAGATGTATGTCCTGATTCCATTGTTTGTGTTCACAAGAGATGCCTTTGAGGGATAAAGAAGAATAACGAAGAAATATTCCTCATTATTTGTCAAGTTACTCAAGGATCACCATGGTGGTGTGCAATAACAGTGATGCTGTGGAGCCCGTATTTATCCTGCGGGGTCTTCCCGGACTAGACCATTTTCATTCTTGGCTCTCAATCCCATTCTGTCTCACGTATTTGGTAGCATTTATTGGTAATATTGCCATCCTCTCTGTCATTTGGATAGAGTCTTCACTCCATCAACCCATGTATTACTTCATTTCCATTCTGGCACTAACTGACCTGGGTATGTCCCTGTCCACACTTCCCACCATGCTTTCCGTGTTATGGTTGGATGCTCGGGAGATCCAGGCAAGCGCTTGCTATGCTCAGCTGTTCTTCATCCACACATTCACATTCCTGGAGTCCTCTGTGCTGCTGGCCATGGCTTTTGACCGTTTTGTTGCTATCTGCCGTCCCCTGCACTACCCCACCATCCTCACCAACAGTGCAATTGGCAAGATTGGTTTGGCCTGCTTGCTCCGAAGTACGGGCGTTGTACTGCCCACACCTTTGCTACTGAGGCGCTATCACTACTGTCATGTCAACGCCCTCTCCCATGCTTTTTGCTTGCACCAGGATGTTCTTAAATTATCATGTTCAGATGCCAAGATCAACAGCCTTTACGGACTGTGTGTAGTCATTGTCACACTGGGAGTGGATTCAGTCTTCATACTTCTTTCTTATATTCTGATTCTGAATGCTGTGCTGGGTATTGCATCTCGTGAAGAGCGGCTAAAGGCACTCAACACGTGTGTATCCCACATCTGTGTGGTGCTCATCTTCTTTGTACCGGTTATTGGGGTGTCAATGGTCCATCGCTTTGGGAAGCACCTTTCTCCTATAGTCCATGTCCTTATGGCTGACATCTACCTGCTTCTCCCCCCAGTACTTAACCCTGTTGTCTACAGTGTCAGGACAAAGCAGATTCGTGTAGGAATTCTCAGAAAGTTTGGAATGGGAAGGAGGGTTTAAGGAACTTCTATCCCTCAGTTTTCCCACTGAAAATATTTGGAAATGTATTTAATATATGAAATGTAAAATATATGTGTATTGATGATCTGATTAAATTCCTAATTATTCTACTTTCTATATATGTAATATCAGTTAATCTATAACCTACATGAGATTCATTTTTTTTCTTGGATGATTTGTGATAATTATGGTCTTATGTATTCCAGAGATCATTATAAGATTTGTGTGAAATAATTAACAATTTGTGTGCTAAAAATTAAGTTTCTGAAAATTCTATCAAGCTGTTAATATAATTATTATTATCAATGATAATAATGGCAGTAACTTTTAACATCAAATATAAGTATGTTTAGTTTCTCATGTTAATCTAAAGCTCAGAAATACATTTTTATCATTTTCTATCTCTTTTTCTAATAATTTTCCTGTATTTTTTTTCTCATGTCACAATGTTGCAACATTTTTTTTTGAGACATTGTCTCACTTTCACCCTCTGTAGGGTGAGTGGCATCATAGCTCACAGCACCCTCAAACTCCTGGGTTCAAGTGATCCTCTTGCCTCAGCCTCTCAGGTAGCTGGGACTACAGGTGCCAGCTGCAATGCCAGGCTGTCTCTAGAGATAGGTTCTATCTCTAGCTCAGGCTGGTCTTGAACTCCTGAGCTCAGGCAATCCACCTGTCCTGGCCTCCCAGAGTCCTGGGATTATAGGCTTGAGCCATCACACCAGGCACAATGTTATAACTTTTTATAAAAATATTTCTGACATTATAGAACAAGTTTGGAACTTGAATTCCAAGTCAGACTTTGAATTTCTGCCATTGTTGTTGGCTATGGACTAAGTTCTAATCTCCACTGGGCAGTGATGTATTTTTTTTCTCTCAATGCTACTCTAGATATACCAGTTGCCTCAATTTGCCAGTAAAAGCTGAAGCAGTTAAATGTGTGTTGCTTAAGGAAGCCTCACAGTGCCTACCTAAACATCTGGACAATTGTGTATTCTCTCACACAGAAGGGGATTTCATGTCTTAAAGTGTGAGTGGATTGGAAATTGTGCACAATCTCCACTCTTGTCTTTTAATTTAATTTTATTCTTATTATACATATTCACATGGATCTTCAGTCTTAATGTGTTTTTACCAATGTTTTTGTCGATAATTCATTATTTTTCAAATTTTTCACTAGGACTATCAATACTTTTGGTTTCAAGCACGATATTTTATTATTTAATATATATTCACTTTTATTCTTAGCTGTATTGCAAACTTTTTGAGCTTGGGACTTCCTTATCACAGCACTATGTAGCTGGTCTTCCGCAACAATCATGAGTACATATTATATAGTTGTAAGTGTAAATTTTAGAGTTTATTCACTCATTTGAGAAAAACATATTGAGACAAACAAAATATGTATTGTGGCAGTTACTATGGAGACATATATAAAATAGTAACATTAAAGTATAACAGCATTATAGAAATAGGTACCTGGTACAATGATGTTATTAAAAAGTGGCCAATTGTACTTGAGAATTTAAGATTCAGGAGTCAAAGCAGTTGACACTTCACCCTTTTTGTGTTAAATTCATTCTTACCAATTGGACAGAACTGGAAGTAACATGCTAAAGCTGGCTCATGAAAGACATGTGTTGCTCTAACTCTGTCTTCTGTATGAATTATTCATATGAAATTGGCTAGAATAGGCATATTTAAAACCAATACATTGGAAAACACTAATACTAGAGTTTTTAAAAGACCTTCTTAGGCTCCAGTTTACCGGCACATCACTGGGAAAACTATTCCAGGAAGAGGAAGTAGCATGAAGAAAAGCAAAAGGGTTAGAAAGAGTACATGTGGGTAATACTCTCCAATCTCTAGGAAAAACTTAAAACTTGTCCAAAGTATCATGCATTCTCCCTCCCAAATCCAAATAAAACTTGGGTTCATGGACGTGGAGAACCACTACCTGGTCCCATTTCAGTAAATGACTTGTAACCTCAGGTGCTGGAAGTGATGACAACAGGGAGACTTCAACCTTTAACCTTTTCAGGGATTGCCTCAGCTGGAGAAACGTGCTTTGTGTACAGTTATGACCCATTCAATAACTGAGATATAAAGGCATAAAGGTCTAGACCCTGAAGGTCTGAAGCAGAAAAATTTGTTTGGACACTTTTAACTCCAGAAGTCCTTGTGATTTTGAACAAGATTGAAATCAAGGTTTAATTTACTGCTCAGCTTCTTCTTCCTAGTGCTCCCTATTTCCATTCCTTTTCTTTCAAAAGTGTTTATCCTAAGGATTCTTCACATTAAACACTAAAGTTTACTTCCACATTGGTTTCTCAGTGAATTTGGGGATGAAAAGTTCCCAGAAAATATATGACACAAAGAAAGGATGAAATAAAATTCTCAAGATAATATTTCATTTTGGGCAGATGGAAGAGGATAAGAATTCAAGAGAAAATGACCAATAGTTTTTATCTCTTCAAGTTTTAAGTAAGAAGGTTAAGCCCAATATATGAACTAGAGAATTAAAGATAGCCCTGGGACCCTAGAGCTGATTCTATAAGACACGTGCATTACAACACTTTCTGAACTCTATTTAATCTCTTAATGATAGGTTTGATGGCTGGAAATGAATTCTTAATTTTATTTAAGCCTATGAATGTGCTTTTTATGTATAGTGCTTTTTATATGTTTTTAAAGAAGTATCTGTCTACTGTATCATACAGGATCCAACTAGAAGACAAAAATTACACAGCAATTTGAATAGAATTAGTTAATATAAATACAGCAGAACTTCCATAGTTGACCACCTCCTTACATCGACCACTTTCTTAAGTTGATCTAATTTTCATAGACTAGACATGCACCACATATATGTCATGTATCAGTACAATAGACTTAGTTCCACGTGTTGACCTCCTTTATATCTTGACCAGTTTGTTACAGTTTCTTGGGTGGTTAATGTACAGAGTTTCTACTGTAATTGTTAATTTTTTTAAGAAATTAATTTTTAACAAGTAAATATAACTAACTAATACTTCAAAGCTTAGGGAGAATACTCAAGGAAGGAACCAATTTAGATGAGGAGGATATCTTTTTCAAGCCTGAGGTAGGTTAATATTTCATTAGAGAATGTGTACTTTCAGCCCACTGGATGCCAGAGAATTTGATTCAGTTGCCTGGAGCAAGAAAAACAGACCCCTATGGCCTATATTGTGGGCCAAGGCTGACAGACTGAGAGGCCTCTTCAGAAAGGAGAAGATAGACTCCCTGAAATGTGAGAGGTAGGCTAAAGCTGGCAGGTAAGGAACCATAGCTGGAATTGTCAAGCAATTGACACCCTGTAGGTGGAAAGGAAATCCAATCTTGAACTGATAAAGTGGAAACAACCCCTGCAGTTTGCAGGTTGATGAAGTCTGGGGAGCTAAGCACTAGAGCAACTGCAAGGTTCAATAGTCACAGGGAAACTGTTCAAATTTGACGAGGTGAGCATCACTATTAAATGTTTCTTACGTGCTTCTGGTTTCTGCATGGTAGAAACAAGAAGAATCAGAGGTTTCCTACAGATGTCTCTACAGCATCCTCTACTGGCCAAGTTTAACATCATGCATCTGCAAAGCAGGGAAAAAAAAAAAAATGTCCGTTGAGTCCAATTGCATTATTGCAGAGTAGGCAATGAAGGTTATGTTTGAAGCTAAGGGAAATAAATAGCTGGGAAATACTGATATTATCAATAACTTTGCATGACCTTTCAAACCTTTAAGGCTTTACTTTTGACATCTGGATATACAATCTAGATAGAATTTATTTTTATGAATGATGAGGTGAGATCAAGGAATTTTTGTTATATGACTATGACTACATAGTTCATTTAGAAATATCTACTGAATAAAGCATTATTTATCCCGTATACCACAATGCTGCTTACGTCACAGAAGATAAATGAGTATGTGTGGATCTATTTCTGGTCTTTCTGTTCTGTTCCATTGGACATAATTTTCTATCTTTGCACTCATCCAATTTACTGTCATAAACTGTAATTTTATAGTAGGTTTTTATATATGGCTATTTGTGGTAGTGGAAGCCCAACAATATGAGCACAATGCTTTAAATTTCAGTGTCTATTTTCTCTTGCCAGCATGTGCTTTTGGATGTAAAACGGTATCTACTTACCATAATGAGTTGATTCTCATTATTTGTCTTTAGGATATCTGGTATTTACTAATTATTCACGATATTGTTTATGAATAATAACAAAGCTTTATTTCTTTCAGTAGAGTCCCGTGTCTCTTATTTCTTCTCATCCAATTTTATTCATTAGGTTTCTGGTAAATTTTAGAAGTGAGCATACTGGGCGCTTTCTTCCTCTTCCTGATCTCTTGGGAAAAATATCTTTAACATTTGGTGTTCACTGTAGCTTTCCTTTTTTAGAAAATAAATCAAGGAAATTATCTTCTAAATCTAGCTTAATATATTATCATTATCAGTACCAAATTAAGTCAGTTTTTTCACAACTATAGATTGCTAAATGATTTCTTCCTTTTTTGTGTTAATGTAGTGAATTATATTATTTGATATTTGCATATAAAATGACTTTGATAGCTGAATGAAATCCAACAGGATCAAAATTTGAGAGTGTGTGTTTGTACCTGTGTTAATCACAAGATTAGGTATGGTAACACTTTTATCTTAGATTTCAGAATCAATTTGGGGGTTGTATTGGTCTTAAATATTTTCTGTGATGCCCTAATCCAGTTATGAAATATAGGTTATGCTTGTCTCATAAAATTTATTAAGAAATAACCTAATTGTTTATACCCTCATATTAACCTGAAATAAAAAATGAAAAGAAAAGATAAATTATCTTTCTTTTCATAATCTCTAGACATACATTTGTAAGATTTCTATTATTCTTTATTAAAATGTTTCAAATGATTTGTTAAATATATTACCTACACCTGGGATTTTCTGTCTGTGTTAAAATAAGTATTACATGAAAAAAAAGT